ATCCCTGAGGATATAAGGCCTTGGGAAAGCATTTTTCAACCTCCTTCGCATGAGATAATTCTTTACAGATGGAAAGAATGTCAAGTGGCTTAGAGTGGAGTGTAAGTAGGCTAGGTGGGGGATAGCACGTCCAGTGGCAGTAACTACAGATGTTCATCCTGCCTTCCAAAGAGGTGGGTCTCGTGCACTCAGGTTTGAGATGTGCAGCTTTAGGGGAAAGAGTTGAATTTCAAAGGACCAGAGAGGAGGCAAAGCTGAATTCTACCATCAGAGGATAAGGATAAATATGGGACGAACGAGGCAATGGGTAGCTTGGGCCTATAGCTTAAGTAATTCTTTCACTTGACCAGGGGAAGATTTTTAATGAATGCTTTATTCAATACATAACCAGCTTAGATGTGTAGGTGGGAGAGGGTGGGAAAAATTAGGTGGACTCTAGTCTAAAATAGCTTTCATTACCTCCCTCAGTTTTTCTTGGCTAAGTGTGAAATAGGAGACTGTGTTTCAGTCTTTCGCTAAATGCCCATCAAGCATCACTAGCTTGGAGCGTAGTGTGAGACAAGTGTCGTCTGGCTGGGACTGCCTTCTGTGGGTGGTGCCAGGCTGCAGCCACATAGCAAGTTGAGTGCGTAACAGTGCTCAGCCTGCCTTCCTCACCCCAGGAGTACAGTCAGTGCTGTGCTGGCCACCTGTACACCACAACATACGCCATGGTGTGGTCAGAACAACTGCAGGAGCCTGGCCTCATGTCACATCAGAACGCATCTTTCAATTCTCTGTAAGGTTCCAGTCACAGAAAGCTCCCATAGGGACCACTTTAGGCATTGGCTTTGGCCCAGGCATGTGATGGGGGAGTGAGCAAGGGGCAGCAGAAAGAGATGGGGCCAGAGTTATAACGTGGGGCCATCTTCCGTGGGGCCTGTGGACCAGGGTGTGAATTTTGGCTTGATTCTGAGCGAGATGGGGAGTTGGAGGATTTGAGCTGAGGAATGGCATCAATTGATTTGTGTTTGTAAAGGACCCTCTTGGAAGGTGAGAGAGAGCAAATGTAGAAGCCAGGGTGCCAGATAGGAGGCTTTTGCAATAGCTCAAGCAAAGGATGATGGCAGTTTGAACCAGGATAGTGGCGAAGGAAGTACGGAGAAGTACTGACTGTGGAGATAGCTACTTGGAAGGTAGAGCTGACAGAATTTGGTGGAGAAGTGGTCAAAGGATATGAGGGAAACAGAAAAGGCAAGAATCCCACCAAAGGTTTTGGTGTGGTCACTGGAAGGCTGGGAGTATCTGGCTTGTGGGGAAGCTCAGCCAGTCAGTTTCAGACGTGCTAGCCATCAATATGATTCAGTTTGGGCTCTGTTACTCCAACTCCTTGACAACGAGTGTCCTCAGTAAGTGATGTGAAATGCACCTTGTATCCTACACTCTCTGTGGCCCATGTGGCGACACTGGGAGATACTGAAAAGCTATAACGTTGTGACTGCATTTACTACCAGCTCTAACTGGACATAGTACAGATAAGTGACGAGATAGAAATCGTTCACTGTGGCCCAGGAGGGCCAGGAAGGGATGATGGGTATCACCAAAGAGCATAGACTATCCACACTCTGTCTTCTTATTTCTGAACTACCCTGAGTGTCTCAGCTTATCAAAGCACATAAATGGAAGGATTCTGTGTTGACTTCTGTGTTCTCTTAGGATTAAATCCATTAAGTGAGAGGTACCTGAAGTGGGACTCGTCTGTTCTTACCTTTAACAATACTGGTTTTAGTATTAGCAAGAAGAAAACGAGTGATCCCATCTCAGGGTGGGCAAGGGACTTGGAGAGAAATTTCTCTGAAGAAGATCGGCGCACGGCCTACAGATATATGAAAAAGTGCTCACCATCCTTAATCATCAGAGAAATGCAAATCAAAACTACTTTGAGATATCACC